AAAATACAGTACCCGGAAGTGGAGCGTCTGGTGTCGGGACAGCCAGCCCAATCAGCATCAGAATAAGCCTGGAGATAGTCTGTCGAGGAGCGAGTCAGGTAGATACCGTGAGTGGCAGTGCCGCTAAGATAACGGAGAACTCTCTTCATGGCCGTGAGGTGAGAGTCGTGGGGCGCATGAAGGTGGAGGCAGAGCTGCTGAACGGCATAAGTGATGTCAGGTCTGGTGAATGTGAGATACTGTAGAGCACCAACTATGGACCTGTAAAGAGAAGGATCTAGAAGTGCCGTGCCGGAAGAGGAAGAAAGCTTTGCCTTGGTGTCGACTGGAGTGGATATGGGGCGGCAGGAGACCATCCCTGCCCTCTCAAGGATCTCATGAGCGAACTGTGTCTGATGGAGGAAAAGGCCTTGAGTAGTGCGATGAACATTAATGCCGAGGAAGAAATGCAGATCACCCATATCTGTCATGGCAAACTCAGCCTTGAGTTTCTGAATGAGACTCTGAAGAAGCCCTGGCGAGGAGGCAGTGAGGACAATATCATCAACATATAATAAGAGGTAGGCGGTCCCCGAGGCATGCGTGAAGACGAAAAGAGAAGTGTCAGATTTGCAGCTGCGAAATCCAATAGTCTGAATGAAACCTGCAATCTGTGATACCATGACCGGGGTCCCTGTTTCAGACCATAAAGAGCTTTCTTGAGCCGGCAGACATGATGAGGGTACTTTGCATCCTGAAATCTTGAGACTGGCTGGCATACACGGTTTCTTGAAGCTATCCATGGAGGAAGGCATTTTTGACATCGAGCTGATGGATGGGCCACCCACGAGACAATGCGAGGCTAAGGACGATTCGGACCGTGGCAGGCTTGATGACGGGGCTGAAAGTTTCGCTGTAGTCAATGCCAAAACGCTGATTGAATCCACGGACCACCCATCGGGCCTTATACCTGGATAGCTCACCGGACGGGCCAAATTTGTGTCGGAAGAGCCATTTACCGGTGATTATGTTTTGGTTGGGGAGGGGGGTACTAGTTCCCATGTGTCATTCTTTAACAAAGCATTATATTCATCACACATAGCAGCATGCCAATTTGGATCTTTCATAGCACTACGGTAAGTTGGGGGTAAAGGGGAGATGGAGGTGGTGGCGTGGAGGTCTAAGATTTGTTTTGGGCAGAAAACACCGGCCTTAGAGCGGGTTTGCATTGGGTGGGCGTTGACCGGTGGGGGAGGGGAGTGGGCTGTGG